GGAAGGGTACTGTTTTTATTACAGAGCCCTTTGACTGTTGGGGTCTTTGTTGGTTTACGGATTTTTGAGAACAATTAATTTGCCTCTCTATCCTAAAATGCATAATTAATATGAGTTGTTCCAGATTTAAATTTTTCTTCTCCATCTGTTTTCATCTACTCAGATGGAATCCATGTGTGGGATCAGAAGTCAAATTTAGGAGGTGATTTAGGGGTTAAATTCCATAAGAAAGGAACTTTGGAGCTTAACTAACAGAACAAGTTTCATGAAGTAGAGTATGATTTATGAGTGACCACAGGGAACACTGGTTACAGAGGCCCAAGGAACAGTGTTAAAAAAACTTGACAGAAAGAGAGAAAAGGATTCTTTGATGAGGAGGTGAGCTGAACTGCTTCAGAGTCTGTTGCTATGGTAGCCATGTGGAATAAATGAGCAGCATGAATTCCATTCTGAAATGCCTTCAGCACCCCACTGACTCAGGTAGACCCAGGCAGAATGTGAATGAGTCTGATGTCCCAGTATGTATTTCACTCTGGAGAATAAAAAGAACCGTGAACAGATGTTATTGGTTGCCCTAGATGTATTTTTCGGTGACGGTGACGGTGACTGTGGCGGGGCGTGGCCTGCGGTGCCGTGCAGAGGAGGCGGGCGCACCTGTACGGCATCTGCAATCACGCCCCGCCGACTTAAATATTGTACTGGGTCCTGTGGTGGTTGTTGTTGTTATGTTGAGCTGGCAGCGGGAGAGCTGCAGCTCTGTGAACATTGTGAACAGCAACTGTGAGGGAGTAATAAAAAATTACCAAAATGCCACTGGGTCTGCCGTGGTCGTTTACAGTGACATTTTATACAGGTAAATACATACTGCACTATAATCAGTGTTGGGGGGTAACGGAATACATGTACCGCCATTACGTATTTAAAATACAAAATATGAGTAACTGTATTCTGTTAATTCAATTCAATTCAATTCAATTTTATTTATATAGCGCCAAATCACAACAAAAGTCGCCTCAAGGCGCTTCATAGATACAGAGAAAAACCCAACAATCATATGACCCCCTATGAGCAAGCACTTTGGCGACAGTGGGAAGGAAAAACTCCCTTTTAACAGGAAGAAACCTCTGGCACAACCAGGCTCAGGGAGGGGCGGCCATCTGCTGCGACCGGTTGGGGTGAGAGAAGGAAGACAGGATAAAAGACATGCTGTGGAAGAGAGACAGAGGTTAATAACAGATATGATTCAATGCAGAAAGGTCTATTAATACATAGTGAGTGAGAAAGGTGACTGGAAAGGAAAAACTCAATGCATCATGGGAATCCCCGGCAGCCTACGTCTATTGCAGCATAACTAAGGGAGGATTCAGGGTCACCTGGTCCAGCCCTAACTATATGCTTTAGCAAAAAGGAAAGTTTTAAGCCTAATCTTAAAAGTAGAGATAGTGTCTGTATATGTTACAGTTGCCGTTTAAAAAGGTGGTATTCAGAATACAGTTACTTTGGAATACGTAACAGAATACGTTACAAAGTACATTTTGGGGCATGTATTCTGTAATCTGTAGTGGAATACATTTTAAAAGTAACCTTCCCAACACTGACTATAATATAAATGCAAAAAAAAAGAAAAAAAGTGGGGCTGTGGTTCATGGCCAGCCATCTCCACTTTGGTCTTAAGGACATCAAGTTCCAGAAGTTTTGTACTTTCTTCAGGTGCAGCTCGGCCAACCTGAACTATGCTACCACATTCTTTTATTCGGGAAGCGGCCTTCTCTTGTCAACACGTCAAAACAAGCCATAGTTGTCCAGTGCAAATGGCACTTTTCCGAACTTTAACATTTGATATTTTGATTGTTGCTTACAGAGTCTGACATGTAGTTCTTTTTTGCAGTTTCTCTGAGCATCCTCAGTCTTGCTTTCTGATGGATTTGCTGGGATGTCCACTCTGGGAAGATTGACACCTGTCTTGAATCTTTTCCGCTAGTGAACAGTCTTTCTCACTGTAGAATGATGGACTTCAGATAGTTTGGAAATGGTCTCATAGCCCTTCCCAGATTGATTAGAGGCAATAGTTGCTCCTTTAAGGTCATTGCTTTCCATTCCATTTCCTTCTTTGGATTATGTTTGTAACTCTAAAAGCTCCAGACCAACAAACTGTCAGAACTGCTTTTCTAGAGGTGCCCGCACTTAAGGACAATGAAGTGCATTTGAGCATAAGCACCAGGCTGCTACTTACTCTCAATTTTTACGGAAGCAGTAAGGGTGTACTAATTTTTCACACACTTCTTCTGCATGTTGGCTTAATTTTTTATTAAATAATTGCACAGTGTAATATGCCATGTGTTGCTTACCAAATTTTAAGACCTACTATGCTGCTATGGACCAGGTGATTTTTATGATGCCCTGATATGTAAAACCTTAGAACTGACAGATTGTGTGCTACCATACAATAGTATACAATATACATACAGCATACGATACACATAATACTGTCGGTACATTTGGTGTGCTTTCTTTTTAATAAAATATAGGAAAATCTTGCTGTGATTATTTCAGTTGTTTTAATGTTGATATTAAAAAAAGAAGTTCTACTTGCTGAGAAATAATAGAGGTAAAATAAATATAAAAATATATTATATTATAGTAGATTATTATAAATATATATATATTATTATTATATATATTTGTTTTGTCTTTTTCATTTCTGTTTTAATCATATGACTACTGCATAACCACTTTCTCCATCTGTTTTTGTGTGTATGCTGTTACACACACTCGTAGTATGCGTTGCCATTATTGATTGCTTAACTACAGAGGTGACAACAGGGAAGGATGGTCCATCTTTTTTTAATGACAAGAATTTATAGGGGGTATAGCAGACACAACATTTTATCAAGAATACTCAAGGTGAATGATAAGTGACATTAAGGCCTGACATAGAAAAGTGGATTTTTTTTTCATCACATACCACAAAGATCAAAACAATTTAGAAAAGAAAAGAAATAAATAATAAAGAAGAAATATGGTCCTCTGGAGTAATTACCACACGACTACGGTGTATATTTCACTGTAAGATCATTTCTTTTTGTGTCATTCCAGGATAAATTGAATATATATATCGACTCATCACTTTTGCTAATGATATGCTTGGATAGTGACCCTATCATTTATTTGGTGTTTTTCTTCACAGAGAAATTTGGTGATGTACATTACTGTTTGTGGTAAAGCTCATCTACAGCATCACTCATGAGAAACAAAATCATAATGTGGCTTTAAAGAGTGTCAAAAGGAGGAAAGAGAAACAGTACGAAAGAAAACAGAAGGCGAACAGGTCAGGAAGCGGAGAAGGAAAAATCTTTTTTGGAATACACAGCTATAATTATCAGATATGCACATAAGGACCACCCTGAATTTTAGATAAATACAGCATATAATACACACAATACTGTTGGTACATTTGATCACAATAGTAGACACATAATAAATGCAGACACAGAGCAACAATGAGATCCACTACTAAGATCACATTTCATCCAATGTAAAAACTTTTAGAAGTGCTTAGATAGTAATTATTTTCATCAAGGGTGCAACTGTAACAGAAACATGCCTCAAATATCCATCACAACACGCTTTGTATTGTGGTCATTGTAACTACACACCCCAAAGCCATGACTGCAGTCATATTCAAAATAGCAATATCATAATGCTCAAATTATTTTTCATTGTTCAAAAACAACATATTCTCCAGTTATTGACACCTAAAAAGCTAAAGTACTCAGAGAAAAAAAAA